GGCTGTCAAACAAATTCGATTGTCTATTTTCATTCATTCCGCCCGGTGTTTTTTTTTTTTTTTTTTTTTTTTTTTTTTGTGCTTGCGACAGAATGCCCAGAAAAGACTTTGACGGAAAACAAAAATAAATCGAGATAATTAATTAGCCGTGTGCGCACTTTTGCAATGCTACACCAAAACCTAACACACTTTGGAGAACTATGACGTAGAGGTGTTGATTGAATGAATATTAGGAATCTGGCGATGGATGATTAAGTAGGAATTTAATGATTAAATTTAACTGAATGTTTACGGATGACGCATGTAGGTGATGGCAGTAACGAATAGTGGTAACCAAGTCAATACGCAATATGTGTGAATGACGATGAAAATGTTTAGCGAATAGATCCCCAAAAGTCAATCCTTTACTGTGCCGTATATCGTAATCCGATTCGATAACGATTATTTATTTATCCATCCATCCATCTATTTATTTGTTTGTTTACTCATCCTCGCTTCTGCTGTAGACATTATTTTCGTGAAGAGCGAAGCGAGAGAGGGCGAGAGAGGGGCGGAACGCAGTTTGTTGACGCATTTGACATGAAAATTTGGGGAGTGCATCCCACTAACCTCAATGTCACTTGTAAGCCAAACCTGGTGCATGTCAGATGCTGTAATCAAGTGTTGCCACGGTGACCACATACCTTTTCGCTGCACCTGCCTCGGGATGTGAATGATCTTTCCTAATTACCCACCCCCACCTCATTTGTGTGTAGGCCTGGTATACCCCCACCCCACTCACAGCATACGGACGGACATCACTTTTTAAAACCATCAACGACGGTCACCATCACGCAGCACATATTCTTTATGGTAGTGGATGCTCGAGTCTGTATGCACACATTTTTTTTGGGGAAAATGTTCCGATGCGAGAAGAAGAAAAAAAGAAATCCCTTTTGCACAAAAACGAAACAACAATACAATCTTAAAAGAGGACGACAATCAAGGTAGCACCGGCATTGAAATTGACATCTTGTATAACAATCACCTCTGAGAGATGATAACCTTGTTACGATTCCTTTGGTTCGCTGATTCCCTTCGTTATCGGGGAAACGAAATTCATTTTTTCGACTTTTGGCACTCGAAAACAATAGACCGATCGATTCGTGATATGCCGTGACAAAGAAAAAACTCTATTGTCCAAAGCAATAGCCTGGCGGTGTCAATGTTGATTAATGCGAATTGATGCATTTTTTTTTTTTTTTTAAATGATCGATGTATTCGGCGGCAAGAGTAACTGCAAAGACATCAGAGTGTGTAATGAAGACCAGTTTAGGAGATGCATTGGGTGACGTGCAAAGACAAGGCGAAAAAGTCGAGAACAATGGACGAAGATGAATGAATGTAAAGAAAGAAAAAGAGTGGGGTGCAGATCCCATTGTTGGTCGAAGGTTTACACCTACATGTTCCGAAGTGTACCACCACCATTTTTTCTATGTATTTTTTATTATTTATTATTTACATTATTATTTATCATTATTGTTGTTTACTGTTATATTCGCTGCTGTCGTTGTTGCTGTTATTTACCCTGTCGTGGTGATAGTCGAAAGTTTTTCCGTAAAGTCGATCGGAATTTAATACGCATCGCATGCCAAATCAGTACCCAACAGATATCGGTTGTCAGATGATATTAGCAGAGAAACATCTGAGAGTGGTAATCCATTGTACTTGGTGTTTTTTCCTCCAATGTTCCACGCCCATTCGAGGATACCTCTTATTTGTAGACAGAGGTAACATGCGAAGGAAGCGAATAAACGAGTTTTTCCTTGGAAAATGCTGAAATTGGTCAATAGAGACAAAAGGGGATCCTTAATAAGAAATTTTACCATTTAGAAAAAGATTCTTTTTAAAATCCGATCAAAGTTCATATCGAAATGTGTTTGGAGCACAACTCCTCTATCTGGATGGAGTTGGTTGTCGTCATTCCAAAAGTCCTGCGATTGACATCCGACGGTTGTTTAGGTTTGGAAAACAGGTTCACATTACACAACAAAAAAAAAAACGATTTCGTGTCCACCAATGCAAAGGGAATCAGGAAAAAAAAAAAAAGAAAAAAAAAAATACATATATGCAATGCGCATGTAACCCCCAGAATCAGGTTTTCCTCATGTTAGCGTATGTACGTGCAAACAATCATTTTTTTCTACAATCAAATTTTAATTTCTTTTTGAGCGGCGACATGACTTTAACCATTCGCCCATTCGTCATCCACTCTTAATTTCATTAGGAGGGCTTTGTTTTGATGTTTTTCAAAAACCTATGGGGTAAAAATAAAGGAAAAATTAAGTAAATAATAAGAAGTCTTAACGGTCGAAAAAATAAAGTTTGAAAATAGAGTTTAAAAAAAAAAAACACCAATTTGGTTTAGACAAATTTTTGTTTATTCATTTCGGCATCAGAATTGTCAGTGCCTGCTGAATTTATGGTCACAGGAAAGATCACGCCCCATACCCATGCTGCGCACCGCCAGGCACACCGTTCAGCGTCGTCAGCATACGCGAAATCGAAATTCGACGCGACGCGTCACGTGATCACCAATGCACATACACGGAACTCGACTTTTTTTTTTTTCAATACGCCGACCTCGGGTGAACCAAGACGGGTAACGTGATGAGGTGTCGCGGAGGAGTCAGTGTCGACCGTGCACACACTCCCTCGACGAACCGAACGTTACACCGCGATGATGATGATCCTATTGTAAAAAGGCCAACTTATACTGTCCACAGTAGGATCGACGGGTGGGACAATTGAAAAGAAAATTTTTTTTTTACGCCAATTGCTTTGGGTGGTGGTACCTTTGACGCGACTTGTATTGTGCGTGTTTTTGACGGAGGGAAATATTGGGGGAGGTATATCCGAAGCCGTTCTCAGTGTTGTTTTTTCGGTACCAACCGTCATTGGATTAGATGGCATTGCTAATAATAATAACTATTAATATTACTATTATTATTTTATTTACCCCATTCTAAGATTCGTCGCTACTTTCTCAATACCTTCGCTCCGCTGTAATCACCATGCCATTTTTATCTTGTCCACTTGCTATTTCCCTAAAGAAGACCCATAAAGAAATACGCAAACCTTTCAAAGTTTAGATGTGCAGGTAATTGCGCAATATCCCCAATTTTTCTCACTCAAACAATCATTTGACACACGACACATTGTCGGTTATGCAAAAGAAAAAAAAAAGAACTTTTTTGTTGGGGCACTTTTCCTTCCATTTCTTATTTCGAACGTTCCACTCAATCAGTTGGAAATTTATTTTGGATAATCCTGTTTTTTAATTTGGTTGGTATAAATAGTTGACACGTAAGATGAAACAATTGGAAAACACGCAGAACCCGCGAAAACCGGAGGAACCTTTCATTTAAGCAATGGAGACAGGAGCGTGGATCGAAAGGGAAAAAGAAATGGCATGAAATCAAGGGAAGGGACACGCATGAGAGAATGAGAGAAACACCGTAAGAAAAAAAAAAAAAAACAACAACCAGCCTTACGGTTATAAATAAATTAATTATAGGAATCACGTTGCAAAACAAGAAAATTACATATACTGTATAAACCATCGTCACATTCTAAGACGAAATCCGTCCAGCAATCCCTATGCCCGATGTTTCTTTATTTCCCTGGGACCTCTATCCCTAATTCCCCAAATTAAAGTTTAGACCATAACATATCGCACCATATATATCTAGGATTCATTTTTTTTTTTTCTTTTCTTTTCTTTTGCTATACGCTAAACTTCATCTATTCCGAATGAAGGAATGAATGGCTGTGCCCAAAGAGTCTCTAAATGGCTGTGTGCGAATGTAACGTGGCGGCAGAGTCATTTGAGTTAATTCCGAAGAGAATGTCGTAAGAAGTGAGCTGCCCGGTTCTCGCGCCCGATCAAAACTCTCGACCATTCTTATCTAAAGTGACCTCGGAAAAAAAGAAAAATAGATAAAAAAGAGAATGAAATAAAATGAGTAAAATCAAAAAAAAAAAAAAAGAAAAAGAAAGAAGTTCGATGTTTTCCCTCTTTATAATTTCTCCGATTGTTCGGTGCCTTACTAAACATGCCCCACATAATAAGACCGTTTGTGCGAGCACATGATCGTTGGGTGCACAAGAGGCAGAATGATGAACGAAGGAAATTACTGGAACCAGTTACTGTAATTTCCCATCGTCTGACCCATCCCTGTCGCCTATTTCACATCCCAAATTTGTTCTAACCCGCCAAATTTCTTTGGTATTGCGTTACCAAAAATGAGTAATATGAAGACCATACGTACACGTACGTACGTACGTAAAACGCGCATCCAATCTGTGTACAATTACATGCACATGAAGGCTGCGCAAAGGAGGATGGGAGTGGTCAATCATATTAATTATGGAAAGAAAGTAAGCGTCTCACTCAACCCTATCAAACGTTTTATCAAGCTACGTATGTAACTCATAATTAATGCATACGGTACCACGTTTAATATAGAAAATCATGCATAGCATACATCGTAAAATACAGGGCTTTTGGTTAATCTGTATGAATATCCTATATCATATATCCGATTTCAAATTCAATCGATCAGTGCCTTATATTTACTCGTGTATATGCGAGATATCCTTTTTTTTGCACTTTAATCAATGAAATCAACGCTCACAGCCCGCAAATATTTTCTGCACAAACAGTCCGCCGAAAGGACATGCGTATAGCTAACAACAACTTTCCGTAACAGAAAGAGAGGATGGGTTGTTATTTACAAACATTTAGGTTAATGAAATTATGTAATGCAACTCGCCCACCCCCAAAATTCCCAAATCAGTTTTCAGGGTTCCAAAATTTCACCGACCCTTTTTTTTTTTTTTTTTTTTTTTCGCATCCTCATCCTTTACCCCATTTCGTCATTGGCTTTTTTTTCTTCCGTGCATAATCTATGGCGACCCGTATACTAATCATACAACATTGCGTACGACAACACTACATAATGGGCGAAGGGATTCTTGTGACTTATGGGCTCAGGGGAGCGAATAATCTCTTGGATGTCTTGGATGAGGAGGGGAAGGGAGGGATAATTATTAAGCAACATCACATGCCAAAGTTGCGTGTTCATAGAAAGGCACAACAATCAAATCTTAAGTTCAAAGCCAGAAAGAGGATGCGAGGAATCGGACAATCGGTATAATAGTGGGAAACATCAGTTGGTATTAATGGATGAATGGAATCGCCTCACTTACATCATTTGCTATCCAACCCATAGTTCCTTATTTCCCATTGTGGCGCTAACCTTCTTCGATTGTAACGAGTTCTGAAGTTCTGATAACGGTTTGCTAGAGGTTAGATCCGAGTCGACATTCACGTGAAATATCGGTCACGTAAAGCGGAACCGTTTTGTTATTACGTGTACACCATACACACCATATATATTATATACGCATGAAATAATTGGACAAAACTTTCGAAAGAGTTACGCACACAGTACAGTAAAAATACATACTGTATCATAGATGCATATATTTGGGCGTGTATGTACTGTATATGGAATCGAGGAGAATAATGTAATAATGTAATAATGGCGGTCACTGTAACGGTCCGAACCGATTCCCGATGACAGCATTTCATACCAGATAAACAAATAAAAAACTTTGACCCAAGGGGTGATGCTGTTGAAACTGTTTGTCGCACTCTTGCTATCTTATTTGTCCAACAAACCGCACCCCAACCAGACGATCTCCGGTCACCTGACCAGAGAACCGAGCGTCTTCGGAAGGTAAAAAAAAGTAATCTATCACAAGGTTCACACAACTCTCGTCTTATTGTGGTGCGACGTTCGCAAATTAATTTTGCACGTTCACCTCGCGTATACTGTTCTCAATGGACTGGGAGGTCGGTAGCAAAATTTGGAGTACAGGAACATGCAGGGTCCGTTGCATCACTTTGTGAGTCGAGATTCTCGAATGACCAACTGGCATCAGAGGTGAACGTGAGCTCTAAATTAGAATAGACCTAGGAAGTGAGGAACCCGTGACTCCAAACACAGCATCACCGCTCACCCACTGTCGTCAAGCGACATTAATCCAAGCCTATCGGCTGTACGTCTGCTGGTTCAACAACAACAGTCCTCTTCCAGTACCGCCTGTCGCAAGTGACGTTCACGAGTGGTCGTGGATGGTCAAGTGGAGAACACCTTTTCACAGTCAGAGGAAGACGCCATTTCTTGCCTTCTTTCCTTTCTCTTTTCTTTTTTTGCGTTAGCCAAGTATTCTACGATCTTCGCATGTGCAAAATGATCAACTTAATAAAGTATGCATGAATCGCGTGTGTCGAGAATCTTGAATATGTAGATTCTTAAAATACCAAACCCCCATCTCATGTCTCACGTGCTCATCGAAGAAAAGACGTCGCATTAAGGGAATAAATAAAAACGCGTGAATCAAAATAGTCGGAATGGCGCGTTGTGCGTCGTTTTCGTTGAGGAAAATTGGTAATACGGCTGGTGCAATCTAATAACGAATCATTGCATGTCAATGATTAAGAGTTTATGCAAAGCGTTATCACAAACAGCTTGATGACCGTCTAGGGGTACCCTAATGACATCGACTACAGGATTATTTGACAGCCTCATGCACCTAAGCTGTAAGTTATTTATAAATACGGTAAGATGATTCTTCTTTGCAGATGAGACCGTCGGACTCGAAATCCGCGTTTTCAAACTCTAAATTTTTTTAGGATCAATGGGAAGAATTATTTACTAGCCTCGCATTCTTGTATTCCACATATCGTAATAACGCGATTCTATTTGGTTCTATTGATATATCGGCAAACGGACAAATAAAATTTTTGCATGATTCTTATTTACCATTTACCGACATGGGTTCAATAATGGGGATGGTTTCAGAACTTCATTTAATCTGATGTATATCAAGTGTCCATAATAATAATAGCAGGAATATGTAAAACGAACGAGGGATTACTATTGTGCGGATGAGATGGGGTGATATATTATTGTTGTTACCATTTTCGTCATTCACCGTAAGAAGGCACGCACAATTGTTTTCTACCGAGAATCGAGCGGACGAATAAAACAATAACGAAGTTTGCAAACAAATGCGTTTCGGTGCCTCTACCGAGCGATTCTCATGCATGTATGGACACCTTAATGGTGGTTCTTCTTTATTGTTGAAAAGGACCCTCTTGGATTCCAAGAGGGCGTTGGTTTGTTGACCTAGTTCCTGTGTCTACCCCACTCATCTGTGACAATTTTTTATTTATAGTTTCACCGTTTCTGCAATGCAGCCCTCACCCAGCGCACAGAACATTTCCGACCCAAAGATTTATTACGTCCGAGGCCTGAATACTCGGGAGTCACTCGACCACATGCTCGCCTGCCTCGTACATGGGCGAACATAATAATAATAATAATAAATAATAATAATAATAATAAAATCAAGAAATCAAAACCCGAAAGACGGGATGATTGACGTGCTATTCTTTTTTTTTTCATTTTTGTTCTACCTTTTACAATTTACCCCATCTTCTTTCTAAAAAAGAAAAAATTTTTTTTTTTTTGTTATTCTCGGCCATCAAAACAAATAAATCTGATAATTACCCCACAAATTAATTTTGAAGGAATTCAAGAGGACGAGCCTCTCAAGAAAAAAAAAACCAAACCAAAACTCCAGAATCGGAAGGCGGGTAAACGACAATATGAATCCACAACAATGTCCGAGTGGAAGTTTACTGGAAGTGGTATCAAAAACAATCAAGAAAATCAATGATTGAATGTGATTGATCGAAATTAAATTCAACTGAAAATTCCAGTACAAAGAAAGAATTCACAATATGATGACATTCCGTTTGACTTATGAATTCACCACATGCAATATTGTTATTCCCATCTCTTTCAATGTTGGCAACCGAAATGGTAGCATCAATCAAGATCTATGCTTGCATTTGGGTTTCACGTAATACTTGGTGTATTATGATTTGAGAAAAAAGATAATATCCTCACGCACTTCGATTGTTATGTCAAAAAATTTTTTTTCTTAGCGCCAAATACTTAGATCTTGTACACAAGGTTGCAAACGCACGTACCACATCCGATGCATTATCCTTGATGATTGTGGTCCACCATTCGGTAGATGATGATGAGAGTCGTCATTGTTTTCACCGCACCGCTTATGGAAATTGGAAGCCTTCTCAATAGTTCCAATCTTGATATAGTTTATGTCATGTGACCGAATGTCGGTGAAAGTTCCATGTAGAGTTTAATCGACTGGCTGCATTTAATTTATTTAATTTGAAACCTTTACAACGTATTACGGGATCAAATAGGAGGTGGTTCTTTTCAAATAAAGAAATTGGTGTTCTGCCTCAGCGTCCATACAGCACGTATTTGGAATTCTCGGTGACAGCTTTTTAACACAAGTTAGCTATTATTAGTATTCACCTATTTATTCACAGTAACGTAATTAAGTCGGGCGGTCGCTGTATATACAGTATACCGCACATATACAGTATACAGTATACTGTATCTATTTTTTTTTTTAAACAATAAAGATAATATTTTATTAATAAACGATTGTATATAACAATCAGTTGATGAATAAAAATCTCGTTTCGAAACATCCGATTTTTTCTTTTGTTTTAATAAAACCTCATGGATCATATACAGTATCTCTGTTATTTAAATAATTTTTTTTTTTTTTTTTAGGGGGGGCATTCTTGCTAATAATGAAAATTCCATTCGGCATATGCATCCTACGATTTGGTTCGAATGCTTTGTGTTGAAACACAGATTGGGATAACTATAAATTTCATACAATATGATTTGAATTCCGGTTATGTCTTTCATTATATTTTATTGTTCATACAAGCAGTATTAAAAAATCCATTCATTGTTTTGGATTTTTTGTTATACACGGTAATACTATTAAACAACAACAACAATAATAATAATCATCAAATGAAAAATCAAATATCACGTTTTAATTAATTAATAATTTAAGAAAACTTTCTTTGGTGATTTAAAATACATTTTTGAAAAAATATGTTAGACAAAAGTTAATTAAAATCTTTAAAATTGATTTTATAAATCGATTTGTAAGATAAGTTTATAAAGTTTTTTTTTGAACTTATAATTAAATTAATGTAACCGGTTATCATAATTATATAATTATAATATATTTGATATTTATACAAGCTAAAAAATAGGGCAATTACAGTTGCTTTCAAAAGTTTGAGTTCACTTACTATGTTTTTATTATAAATTTTAACTTTATCAAAATTTAAATACTTAATTATATAATTAAAAATTATAAAATTTTTATATAGTATATTATATCTTAATATTAGTTTTATTTCTTATATTTTTTTTTGAAAAAAATTTATATATATAATTTTTAAAGTTTATTGTTATTAAAAATTTTTTTCTTATTCAAATTTTTATTTTAAATAATTTTGATTGATTGTTATCACTTATCACAAATTATATAATACTTAAATATATATATATATATTTAACATTAATAAAACTTTTGAAATTATTTATAAAAATTTTTTTTAAAAAATATAAAAATCAAACAAATATTAATATATACTGTAATATCTATGAATTTTGTAATTTTTAATTATATAATTAAAGATTTATCAGCAATAAAGTAAAAAAATTGATAAACTTATGTGTAAATTATTTTGAATTGAGTTTATATTTATAAATTATGAATAATACAAACTATAATATAATATATAATATGTTATTTATATTATTATAATTTAATTAATTATATATTATTATATAAATAATACCAAATAATATATAAATATGAATGATTTTTTTCACAAGTTTTATAAATTTTTGAATAAATAGTTATCAAATTTTTAATGAATGATCAATGAACTTTTAATAAATAATTTAATGAATAGTTGCTGAATGTTTAATAAATTGTTAATAAATTTTAAATAAATAGTTTTAATGAATAGTTGCCGAATTTTTTAATGAATAGTTAATGAATTTTTGATGAATTTTTTGTGAATTATTAATAAAATTTTATTGAATTGTTAATAAATAATTTTGTAATAAATTTTTAATAAATTATTAATGAATTATTGCCAGATTGTTAATAAATTATTTGATGAATTATTAATATACTGATTTTTTTGATTGCTGAATTTTTGATTGCCACTTTATTGTTGAAATAGTAATATGTTGAATAGTAGCAATAAAAAAAAATTCAACTATATTTTTATTATTAAATTTAATCAAATTTGAAAATAATTCAACTATCAGATAACACAATTTCGACTAGTGTATAGCACAGTAATAGTGCTCCTAGGTCACAATCATAAGATCCAGAGTTCAATACCACATGAGAATAAATGAGAAAATAAGCCACAAGTGATACACAGATCTCATCTATCCCATGATAATAATCAGGTACCCCAATAAGGCAATAAGTAGAACCTGTCCACTTATATAACCATAACAGGACAAGATCTAAAATAATAAAAGTTACAAACAGGCTAACATAATTGATATAATCCCCTTACACAGAATGAATTATCTGATTACAATAGGAAAAAGAAGGATTCATCCATTTAGGAAATAATAAGACATGTTCAAAAGAAGATAAAAATTCAGCCCAGTGTGACACTGAAGATACAAGACAGGTCCCAGAAATCAAGTAATCCGATATTCTTCATACAAGATCATTTCAATCAAGTATTAAAACAAACTATGACACAAGACAAGCTCTTACAGACAAAAAAAAAGTTTAAGTGCTAACAGGAGCATCCCGTACAAGAGATCCCTAATGCCAGTGATTAATGATGGATCCCTAAAATATTTAGCATATAAAATTTCACAGATCACTTATGTCCTTTTTTAAGGGACAAATTTATGGCTCTTTACTTTAATAGGAACAAAAGTCAGGAAATATTATAAATCAATGATTTAGATAATGGAAAACAATTGTGTATGATTTTTTTATAGTTATTAATTTAAAATTTTTAATATTTCCTAGTGAAAGACATTTAACTTATGTCCTTGCCTCCCTCTTTAGAGATCCATCTTTACCAGTAGTGATGGGTATCTTGGATAAGTTCTTGGTATATTAGTCTCCCAAATTAGGAATAGCAATAAGTCATCTGG